AGATTCATGTCCACACATCCCACTGTGCCTTCCACGTTGCTCAGCAGCCACACCCTGTGCCCCCACTTCTCCTACCCTCCTAGTTCATTAACATGCTCTCCTCTGTCCTCACACTCAAGCTTCCAGCCTCACTGAGAAACTAGTAGCCATCAGAAGAGACCTTTTGTAAGCTCCCACCTCCACATCCACCCACCCCAGATCGAGGCCGTTATATTCTGCTTTGCAATAAAATAGATGAAAGGTCCGTGTTTCTCTCTCAGGCCTCGCCATCCCCCTCCCACGCACCCGCCTCCATTCACTAAATCTCATCCCCTCTCACCTACTCAGAGTCCTGAAGCTAGTAGCTCTGCACGCACGCCCTCGTATCATCCTTTCTTCCCTCTCGACTGGATTATTGCCATCAGTATTAATACATGTTTCTCCCATCTCAAATACCAAAAACCTTAAAAGATTTTTAAAAATGTTTTAATTGTGGTAAAAGACACATAGCATAAAATTTACCCTCATAACCATTTCTTTTTTTTTAATTTTTAATCTTTATTTTTGAGAGAGAGAGAGAGAGAGACAGAGACAGAGTGCAAGCGGGGGAGGGGCAGAGAGAGGGGGAGACAGAATCCCCAACAGGCTCCAGACTCTGACATCTCAGAGCCCGATGTGGGGCTCAAACCCACGAATCGTGAGATCATGACCTGAGCCGAAGTCGGACACTCAACCGACTGAACCACCCAGGCGCCCCTCATCACAACCATTTCTAAATGTACAGTTCTAGTGTTCAGTGTATTCACATTGTTGTGCATTCAATTTCCAGAACTTCACCTTGCAAAACCAAAACACTGTACCTGTTAAACAACAACTCCCCATTCCCTCCTCCCTCCAGCCCCTCGAAAGCACTATTCTACTTTCTGTTTCAATGCATTTGACTATTCTAGGCATCTTATATAAGTGGAAACATGCAATATTTGTCTTTGGTGACTGGCTTATTTCACTTAGCAAATTTCCTCAAGTCTCATGCATATTGTAGCATGTGCCAAAATTTTCTTCCCTTTCAAGGCTGAATAATATCCCCTTGTGTGGATGTACGACCTGTTGTTTACCCATTCATCTGTCAATGGACATTTATAGTTGCTTCCTCGTGGACTGTTGTGAATAGCGCTGCTATGAGCATGAGTATCAAATACCTCCTGGCTTTCAATTCTTTTGGATATAGACCCAGAAATTGAATTGCTGGGTAATTCTATTTTAAATTTCTTGAGGAACTACTATACTGCTCCATTTTACATTACCACCAAGTGTTCTGATTTCTACACATCCTTGCCACTACTTTTTATCTTTTATTTTTATTTGTTTTTGATAGTAGCTATCCTAATGGATGTGAACCATTTGATCTGACTTTTCTTTCTTGCTACTGCTAATTTTCGGCTCCCCTTTCAGACAGGCCTCCTTGAAAGAGCTGACTTTACCTCCTGATCCCAATGCTTCTCTTCCCATTATTTCTTGAGCTAATTCTAATCAGGTTCTCATCCCACCCACTGTACAACCACCTCTCTTGCTGAGGAGTTGCACATCTAAGGGCCACTTCTAGTCTTCCTTGTCGGATCAGAGCTTTTGACATGACTGATCACCCTCTCCTTTGTGAAACACTTTTTACATTTGGCTCCCACAAGGCCATACTCTCCCAGTTGTCTGGGAGACAGTATGTCTCCATACTGGATGTTTTTCCTGTTTGTTTGTTTGTTTGTTTTTTAATTTTTTGGGGGGTGCCTGGGTAGCTCAGCTGGTTAAGCGTCTGACTTCAGCTCAGGTCATGATCTCGTGGTTCGTGAGTTCAAACCCCGTGTCGGGCTCTGTGCTGACAGCTCAGAGCCTGGAGCCTGCTTCAGATTCTGTGTCTCCCTCTCTCTCTGCCCCTCACCCACTCATTCTCTCTTTCTCTCTCTCAAAATAAATAAAACATTTAAAAAATTAAAAAATTTTTAACGTTTATGTTCATTTTTTGAGAGACAGAGAGAAAGGGAACATGAGCAGAGGAGGGGCAGAGAGAGAGGGAGACACAGAATCTGAAGCAGGCTCCAGGCTCGGAGCTATCAGCACAGAGCCTGATGCAGGGCTTGAACTCACAGACCATGAGATTATCGTGACCTGAGCTGAAGTTGGCTGCTTAACCAACTGAACCACCCAGGCACCCCTTTCCTGGTTTGTCTTGCTGGTTCCTCCTCATCTTTCCAAGACTTTTCATATTGCAGTTTTGCAAGGCTCAGTGCTTAGATTTTTCTCTTCTCCATCTATACACTCCTTCCATGTTATTTTCTGATGATCTCACTCATTATCATGGCCTTAAATGTCAACTCTGTATTGATGATTCTCAAATTAAATCTCCGTTTAGACTTTCCCCCAGAATTCCATACTCTACTACATGCACCTGCCTACTTAACATCTCTACTGGCATGTATGCATCATAAACTTGACATGTCCAAAATCAGCCTCTGGTCTTCCCTAGTCTATCCCCCATCCCCCAAACCTGTTATTCTATCTACAGCCTTCCTAGCTCAAACCTTGGAGTCATCTTTGACTTCTTTCTCTCTCACACACACCACAATCAGTGTGTCAGTAAGTCCTGCTGGTTCTACCTTGAAAATCTATGCAGAGTCTGTCTACTTCTCATCTCCTGCACTGCTATTAACCTAATCCAATCTACCGTCATCTCTCATCTACTCTGGATTAGTGGCCTCCCGATTTTGTCCCTTTTATCTCTCCTCAAAACAATAGTCAAATTGTTAAAATGTTAGTTTAGATCCTGTAGTTTCTCTGCTTTAAAGAGCTCAGGGTAGCAGCACCTGGATGGCTCAGCCTATTAAGTGTCCGACTCTCGATTTTGGCTCAGGTCATGATCTTGCAGTTGTGAGACTGAGCCCATGTTGGGCTATGCACTGAGCACAGAGCCTGCTTGGGATTCCCTCTCTGCCTCTGCCCCTCCCCAGCTCACGTGCATACATGCTTTCTCTCTGTGTCTCAAAAAATACAATAAACAACAATGAAATGAAATACAATAAAATACAATAAAGCGCAATAATAAAATAAAATAATAAAATAAAAAGGAGCTCAGAGTAAGTCAAAGAACTTACAGTGTCCTGCAAAGCCCTGTGGTTTCACCTTTCCAGTCTCACTATTGCTTCCCTATGTTGCACAAACCCTCCAGGCATGCTTTTGTTTCAGGACCTTTGCACTTGATATTCTCACTCACTGGAATATTCTTCCCATAGACACTGGTATGACTTGCTCCCTCATCTCCCTGGAATCTTTGTGCAATGTCACCCAAGAAGTGCCTTAACCACCCTATTTTAAAACTTCAGTCTAGGGGTGTCTGATTTCCTCAGTTGGTTGGGCATCCAACTCTCGATTTCAGCCCAGGTCACGATCCCATGGTTGTGGGATAAGATCCCACGCTATCAGCACAGCACAAAGCCTGCCTGGGATTCTTTCTGTCCCTCTCTCTGCCCCTCCCCTACCTGTGCACGCTCTCTCTCTCTCAAAAGGAAACATTTAAAAAAATAAATAAGATTTTAATCTAAAGTATAACTCAATTACACTCTATTCCCTTTTTCTCTTTATTTTTACCTCCAGCTATTATCACCTTCTAATATACTATATCATGTACTTTATTCCATTTGTTGTCTATTTACCCCCAACAGAATGTCAGTTCCATGAGGGCAAAGACGTTTGTCTGATTTGTTCCCTGTTGTATCCCTAGTAACTAGAAGAGCGTCTGGCTTGCAATAGACACTCAATACATATTTCTTGAGTGAATACATGAATAAATGTAGAATGAGTGCATAATTAGCAGTAGGAATACTGTTTTTTCAAGACTGTCATTATTATTCTATCCTAAAAATCCAGGAAGCAAGTTAGGATATGGGTAGGGTGGGCATATATATTTACAACAAAATACACACCCTTGCTACTCAAAGTGTGGTCCACAGACCAGCAGCATCAGCACTGCCTGGGAAATGCAGAACCTTAGGCCCCACCCCAGACTTCCTGAATCAGAATCCATCCACATTTTAATAGGACCCTCCAGGGGACTGAACCTTAACGTTGAAAGGCAGTGGAGCAGTGGCCCCCAACCTTAACTATGTATTGGAATCATCTGAGTACATATTACAACTCCTGATGCCTTGGTCTCACCCCAGGGATTGATTTAATTGGTCTGTAGTAGAGAACAGACACAGGTCAGTGGTGAAGAGGTGAAGTGACTGAATTATTCATTATTTTTTTGGTGGAGAATGAGGATTAGAAGATTTTCTGTCAAATCTGGGTACAGAGAGTGACTTGTTGGCATTGACATAATCAACCAACCAGTCATCTCCATCTTATTTCATAACAGTAAATTTCAATTCCTTATTTGTGATTTCAAATGAGACCTTCAAGGCGGCAGCTTCTCACTACCCGACAATACAGTCATATCCACACTCGGGCCACCCTTGACAGTCTCCACTGCGGGAAATAAACACTGAGCAGTATGTAAGCCCCTTGGAGGAATGTCTTCTGCTCTCTTTTCCAGCAGGATCCAGAGATCTTTGAGAGCAGAAAGCTCAGCAGAGACTGAGGAGGGATTCAGGGTCAGTCTCGGGGTGGCTGTTGGGAAAGCCCTGACCACAGAATTCTAGGTATTTGCAGGCTGGGAATTCTCTACCCTGCGCCCTGCACTCAGAGAGCTTACACGTTTCAACGGTTCCTACCTCTTGTGTTCCCACACTCACTGCCTGACACAATCATTTCCTGGGTGACTCCAGTATAAGGGTGGGGTGCAGAGCTGACCTCTGAGTGTGACCCCAAACATGAATCTTGAACATGAACTTGAATCTGAAGTTCCTTAGCTGCACAATAAAAAGGCATGGAAACATGATAGAGTAGCAGTGGCTAATTGACATCCACGAAAAATTTGGGGCAAGTGTAGGGAGCATTTCCAGATTTTCCTTGACTAAGTGGGCTCTGTCTTGCAGCTCAAGTCTCGGGTTCTTATGACTCCTTTAGCCCTCTCACCTCCGCGGAGCACACCGGAGCCCGACCTCAGCTCCATCCCTCAGGATGCAGCCACCATACCCAGCTTGGCCGCCCCACAGGCTCTCACAGGTATGTCAGCCGAATGACGTCTAAGGCTGTGATGGTCAGCCAGCCATCTAGCAGTTACTTTGTGAACTGGAGAGCTGCCACTGGGATAGCTCTAATGAAGGATTTAGTGTGTTAGCTGGCAGGCAGGACAACCAGATTTCTCTGAGAATATTAGTTTAAGTGTCTCACAGGTAGGATTACTTGAAACTTAGTTTTAAATGCATCTCAGGTTCAGCTGGTTGCCTTGGGGTGGGACTAGAAAGGGTGGTGTGGTGGCCTGGTGTTTCATTTTCAGAGCCAGGTTTAGTTTCCACCGAGAGTGACCCTGCCCACCTTGAAGAGTTTCCATCTCTGTGTTTGTGCTTCCAGATCCCCTAAGGACCCTAACCTCTCTTAACCCCACCTGGTGGCTCCAATCCAGTCAGAGTAGAGCTCAGTCCAGTCTTTCTCATGGGGTGTCCATCAACAACGAGTTCCATCATGAAAGTACCAGCAGCAGGATGGCGTCTCTCTCTCACACACACATAAACTGTCCTCATCACCAGCCATCCCTACTCTTGTCCCACTTAAATCCATTCAATTCCCTCCCATTGCTTTTAGGTGAAAATCAAACTTAATTTGGCCGATGGAACCCTGTGGTACATTGCTCTCCTTTCAGTCCCTAGAAGTGCCTCCTCCCCTACCCCTGCCCAATAGGATTCCAGCATATTGCCTTCCTTCTATCTGGAATGACCTTCCTGCTGGTCACCCTACTCCTCCCTTGTATCTCAGTTCAGGCATATCTTGCTCCAGAAAACCTTCGCTGACTCCTGCCAGGGTCCCCAGGATGGGCCCTCCTAGCACTTCCCTAGTGTCTCTCTCGAAGCCGTGGTCCCACATGGCTTCCTGTGGAGCTCTGAGTAGCTCTGCCTCCCCAGCTGGGCCCAAATCTCTGGGAAGCCAGGGACTGTGTGAATCTAGTTCACCATTTTCTCCATAGGGCCCATCTAGCACAGTGCCTGGCATGAAGTTCCCTTATTGATTAGATATCCTTAATCATCTGGGATGGGTTCAAGGGAAGGCAGCCTGGCAGAGCAGAAAGAGCACAGGCCTTGACATCAGAAAGTCTGGAATCCCTGTTGTACCACTAATTACACTTTAGACTTTAGAACAGCGATCCAACCCTTTAAGCTTTGGTTCCTTCATTAGTAAAGAAGTAATCATACCCCACTCTCAGGCCCATCTTGAGAATCAAACAAGATAAAGTGCCCAAAGTGCCTGGAATAGAGTAGATGCTCAACAAAAACTTTCTTCACCTTTGCTGTTACTGTTTCATCCTTTCCAAATCCTATTGTTGTCCCCTTAATGTCCCCTTTCAACACTGCTTTGCACTAATAGCCCCCAAAGTAAGTTCCTCATATCCTGGGATGAGGGCGGAGACAGCCAAGGAGTTGTTAACATGGGGAAGAAACTATGACACCTACTATTAATATTTACTTAAAAATTTTCTATTTCTTGGTTATGTTTTAAAATGCATGCAATATATTAAAATAGTCAAGAATGTATATAACCTATAAAAAATAAACACCTTTTGGGGCATGTGCTCCAAATTTGTTTACTGATGGGGTATATTACTTTAAAAGTGTGGGGACCATTGGTTGGGCTTCCCTAAACGGGCAGCTGAGTATTTAAAATCTCTGAGATTATAAATAGCACTCTCCTTAAAACTTCACTGAATATATAATCTTTGGATAAGCAGCCGTGTCTTAATTTTCCGATTCACTGAAGGTTAACAACAACAACAACAAAATTGGCAAACATTACATGTAAGCTTAACAGCTCCTTTGGAGGAGAAGGGAAGGTTTTGGTGTGTGCATTTTCAGTATGGAAACACATTTATACACATGGTCCACATGGGTCTCCATTATTGTCTGTGATTCAGATTCGAGTGCATCACAGGGGACCAACCTGTCTATCTGTCCCCAACCAAGAGGTTCTCTTGAGAGCAAGCCTCTGGCAGTTGGGAGTGATTGGCTCTTTTCCCCCTTTTCCTTCTTACATTGGGAAGAATTAGTCCCACTTTTGTTCTTCTCAGCCTTTCCCAAGGTGAGGGCCAAGGTGGCATGGCTGAGGCAACCTCCATGCACACAGGAGCAGCCGCCTGGCCTGATCCCCCTGATGCTGAGGGCTTCATGGCTCTGTTTCCACAGTCTGCCTCTACATCAACAAGCAAGCCAACGCAGGGCCATACCTGGAGAGGAGGAAGGTGCAGCAGCTCCCTGAGCACTTCGGGCCCGAGAGGCCGTCGGCAGTCTTGCAGCAGGCCGTGCAAGCGTGCATTGACTGTGCCCACCAGCAGAAGCTTGTCTTCTCCCTGGTCAAACAAGGCTATGGTGGTGAGATGGTATCAGGTAAGGCCCGGGGGCACGTTGTATGAGAAGGGACGTGGGTGTCTCTCTGAAGATGGAAGAGGTCATATTCAGGCTTGGGGGACAGTGGCTGTGGCCAGGGTCTGTCTTCCATCCACTGGGCTCCAGGGGCCTTAGGTTAGCTTGTGTGCTGACGGCCTCTCTCTGGGCTCGAGGAGAAGATGCTTCCAGACTTCAGTAAGAATCCTCACCTTTAACTCTTCTCTCACCCACCCCCCTCTTCCAGCTCATCGGTAAATCCTATTGCTCTAACTTCAAAATATATCCAGAAGCCAGCCATGGTTCACCACTTACAGCAACTACTCTCTGTTCTTTAAAAATCGAAGCCATCGCGTGCCCCTCCTCTGCTCTGCACCCTCAATGGCTCTCATGTCACTCCAAGAAAAAAGCCCATGTCCTTATGATGACCCAGAGGCCCTATGTGAACTGGTCCTGCCTACCTCTTTGATCTCCCGGTCACTTCTCTTGTGTCCTCACTCTGCTGCAGCCTTGGTGGCCTCCTTGCTGTTCCCCCTGTTATCGTCCAACCATGCTCCTGCCTCAGGGTCTTTGCACCTGCTGTTCTTTCTGGAATGTTCTTCCCCCAGCTGTCCATGCTTGACTTGCTCCTGGACTTCCTTCAGGGTTCTACTCAAATACTGCCTTATCCAGGAGACCTTTTCTGAACACTTGGTCTAAAATATCAGCCCATGTCACTATTCTTCCTTGTTCTGCCTCATTCCTTCTTCATGGTACATATCACCATGCAGGGCAGTGGGGAAGCTCATGGTCTCAAGCCCCTCTTATGGGGTGAGTTGTTTTTTGTAAAAGCCCTTCAGAGTCAATCCCTTCTCCCATTGTTACCACCATCCTCCAGGTTCATCCCTGCCCCAACAGCTTCCAGAGGGAGTGGCAGTTGTCACCTAAGATGAGAGGCAGAGTTGGGAGTGCTGCCCTCTTCATATGTTTGGCTGTAGAGGCTCTTTCTGCCTTACCCAAGTCTCTAAACAATCGTTATTACCACCTGCCCTTAAGCCTCAGAGCACCACCCCTTTGCAAATGTCTTGACTCCAAGGGCACAGCATGGTGTCTTCTTTGGCCCAGCATCAAGGCCATGACCTCTGTATCACCAGGGAATAGGTAAAGACTCTCCAGCAACGGGGTGGTGCAGATGACCCTGCTGGCCAAGAGTAGGTCAGGGGAGAGGGGCATCTAATATCGCTGTGTCAGGAAGAACCCAAGCAGGGACATTTTATTTAACTTGAGATCCCCAGGGCTTGGAGGCGAGGAGGTTGTCTAACCAGTTTCCCCAGCTGTGATTGGTTCTGCCCACCTTCTGGAGCTCCCTCTGGGCAGGAAGGGGGGTATGACTTGCTGGTAACTGACTAAAATAGAACTTGGCAAAGTCCAGTGCATGTGGCTGACCCAGAGTAACTTTTAAGAAACTTTGGCAGAGGCAAGCAGAGACAAGAGGAAGAAGTACTGCATCAAGAGAGGGTAGGAGGAGAGTCTTATTGTCAGCCTTCTGAGATCCCACTGGCCATTTTGGTATTTTTCTGAGAACCAGGTTCTCAAACTTGGGCTCCCTCTGAGGTTTAGAGCCTTGTCCTTTTCCTTGCTGAATACCAGGACTCAAGACACAGACACAGTGCTAAGAGAAAATTCTTCCTGTACTGTGTGCCCACCCTCTTCAGCGAATTCCATCCCACTGAGTTTTTCATGGCCCCTCCCCCTAAGCTGGGAGAACTGAGCCCATTTTCCCTGCTCTCCTGCTCAGCCCTTCTGTGGCCTCAGGGACCTTGGCACTGGGGAGCAGGTTCTGCAGTGCCTGGCACAACACAAGCCTGGGAAGAGCCCTGCCAACTTTCCCTTGGCTGAGGGATTCCCAGGAAGTCCAGAGCTGAGCACTCAGTCTTGGTGTCTTGGAGAATGCAGTAGCACCAGGGGACTCTTCATGCTTCCTCCTTGAGGTGCCAGAGCAGCAAGGAGGTCCTTCATGTTACTGGGGCAAATATGGAAGCTCAGCAAGCTGTGAGAGGGGCCCAAGGATAAATAGACTCTCCCACTTTCCACCTGACCCTTAGGGCACTGCTTTCTAAACATTCCCATGGCACAACACAGAAAATGGTGACATTGGTGCTGGCACATTGGGCTGAAGGAACCAGACTGCCATGGGCGGGCCTTGGGCCAGCTCAAGGGCTAAGGGAACAGTATTGCATGCCCTGCCCGAGCCATGCTATCCCAGAGGATAGGCCTCATGGTCTCATAAATGCCATGGCTGCTTCGAGGAGGTGGTCCTTCCAGGCACCTCTGGGAATGTATGCACCTTGATTTTTGGATTAGGCCTGATGACCCAGACTCTCCTGCTATGGGTTCAGTTTCCATCACACTTATTCTTATGAAATATTGGAGGCAAACAGTGACACTCACACTAAAAGAGGGAATTTCCAGAGTGTCTGAGTTGCCGGGGTGAACCCCTTCGTGGGCCTGTTGGTAGTGCTTTGCCAGCTCTCCCAAGCAGAGTCACTTGGAGTATTAACATGACAGGCAAGGGCCACCTAGAGGCCACATGAGTTGGAAAAACTGCTCTTCACCCTCTTCTCAGTCTCCTTATCTGTAACTTGGGATAGTAACCTCTTGTCTACTGTCCTCATAGGATAGAATGATGGACACGAATGTTCTTGTCAAACTATAAAGAGCTTATACACACAAAAAATGGATTCTTTCGGCTTTTAATTAAAATGTTTTGTTTCGTGTTAGTTCTGATATCAAAACTACCTCTGGTTTTGTCCCTACCCAGCCCCTGTTATGTGCCAGTCTTTGGGAGATAAAATGTAAAAAGCCTCTTGGTGTTAGCAATGAATGGCGGAGACATGGGTGGGGGCAGTATGTCCTCCTAGGGTCTCCTTCTGTGTTCCTCACACTGGAGCTGGTATGCAAGCTTCATGGGGCAAGAGAGGGCTGTGAGGACAATTACAGACAGGGGTATGCTGGAAGAAACATGTTTCTTCTAAATTCTGGTAACCCTGTAGAAATTGAATGTGATCTAGAATCATTATGGAGAGATTCTTCTTTTTAAAGAGTCCTCCCCGAGAAAGGTAGAAAGAACCCTAAACTCTGTGATGCTGGATTAGAGCTAGAGACCTCAGCATGAACTCAGGTTTATTTGGATCTATCTATCTATCTAGATCTAGACCTATCTATCAATGAGCATATCCAGTGCCCAAATCTTAGTTTCTAAATATCACTCTTCAATAACAAGGAACCAAGGATGTTGGAGAAATGGCTGAAATTAGGGCAGAGGCAGGGAAAATGCAAGATGAAACTGAGGCATTTTAAAGTATCAGTAACCAAAGAGTTGCTAAAAAAAAAAAAAAAATGAGGGCATGTCATAGGGACACAGGACACTGAAAGTCCTAAAGACAAAATTTGAGCAACAAAATAAATAACATATATTGGATAACCCACAGTACAAAATAAATATATTAAGTCTATACTGATATTATTGAATAAATGAAGAAATGAAGGAATAAATGGAGGACAATGGACGGTTCTTTCTTTCAGAAGAATTCCAAATAATACAGAGACTCTCCCCTCTTTGAGAGGTAGACCTTAATCCCTCTACCACCCTTGAGTGTGGGCAGGAACTTGTGACTTGTTTCCAAGGAATGAGATATGGAAAATACAGTAGAGAGATGCAGCAAATGCTATCTGGCCAAGTGATAAAGGCTGACATCCCAGTGATGTCGTGGGGACATCATGTACCCTTGATCTGATAACAGGAGAGGGACACTTCACTTCTTCTCCAAAAATATTAACCCCAGTCACATCATGAAAAAAAAATCAGACAAACCCAAATTGAGGGACATTTTACAAAATATCTGACTGGTATTCTTCAAGACTATCAAGGTTATGCAAAACAAGGTAAGTCTGAGAACAAGTCACAAACCAGAGGACACTAAGGATACGTGACAACTAAACCCAGCATGGTCTCCTGGATGAGGTCCTGGAACAGACGCAGGACATGAAGTGAAAACACAGGCGAAATCTGAATAAAGCTTAGTTAAAAACAGAACACAACTGAAAAAACAAAAACCTCCTTCCAGGGACTTGTGGCTTTCTCATGCCCTGCTCTGAGTTGCTGTCTCTGTGGCATTTCAGTGTCGGCATCCTTCGATGGGAAACAGCACCTGCGGAGCCTGCCTGTGGTAAACAGCATCGGGTACGTCCTCCGTTTCCTCGCCAAGCTGTGCCGAAGCCTTCTGTGTGATGACCTCTTCAGCCACCAGCCCTTCCCCAGGGGCTCCAGTGGCTCTGAGGAAACCCAGGAGAAGAAGGAAGGCAGGATGGAGTCAGGTAGGCTTTGTCCTTCTGTCTTTCCTGTGCCTGCAGGTGGTCCCAGGTGTCCCTGCCCTCCCATGAGCTCCTGGGAGCTCTCTTGCTGGAGGCCCACAGGCGGCCTCTCTGCCAACCGTCCATCCCAGGGAGCAGTCAGGAATGGCCAAGACCGAAGTTACCTCGACAGTCCTCACCCAGGTTGCAGTGGGAAGAGATCACTCTAGCTACTGAGAGCTGATGCTATAGCGTTTAGGCTTATGTTATTAGAATCTGGATGAGACCACATCACATATAATGAGTGATTTTCTTCACTCTCCTCTAATTAAGACTCTTGGGCACTTATGCATCATTGTTGAGTAGTTGAAAGACTATCACAGTAAGGAACTAATAAATCCTGAAGAAACTAGGGATAAGGAAACAGATTATGTTGGTCTTGCTTGGGGGCCTCAGATACCCACCCATGTCAATAAACAGAGTGTCTATTACTGCAGGGATTTGACCAGGCCACGAATCAAATATGTTTTTCACTGAGTCAGAGTCTCTCTCTCATCACAGGATGGAAAGTGAGCCAGGGGCTTGAGTGCCTTTTGTTGCAGAGTAGCTCAGCATAGGAAAGCTAGTGGGAAGGTCACCAAGGGCACACAGGGGCCACACTGCCAAAGCTGTCACAACATTGTCTGCTCAAGGTACCCACAGAAGGTTTTCCTTCTCTGCTTAGTAGCCCTGAGTTATGGATTTGCAGAAAGTTAAACATGACTCTAGGTTTTGGATTCTAGGTTCCCAAGGATTAGCAGAAATGTTGCCTTTTTTCTTTGTCAGGAAGCGGTATTGTTGATATATAAAGAACACATAGTCAGTGAAACTGGAATCTAGTCATTATGTCATTCTATAAACATTTGCTGAGCCTTCTTATGCTCCAACAACCATGGGAGAACTTGTCTTGTGATAAGGCAAATACACAAGGTTCAGGAAGTTTTTGAAGTATTGAGGTATTGAGTGACCAGTATTCGTAATGAAAAGTGAATACGTTTGCAGGTATGTGTTCACAGGTAGGCTTAGATGCTTAAAAAAAAAAGATGCTTATAATAAGAGTGGCTATATGGTAAGCCTAAGAGGACAGCAGGGAAGGATAAACTTAGATTCTTAGCATATATTTTTTTTTCAAGAACTGTCAAGAACCTTGTTTACAATTTTACATTAATGTCTCTAAGATCTGGGATCAGTAAGAAATTTGGCCTTTACAAATAAAGGTATCTAATTAAATACAGTCTATGTTAGCAGGTACTATATACGTTTGTTGTTTTTTGGTTTTGCTTTGTTTGTTTGTTTGTGATGCCTCTATGTGGGCAAGCTTGGGAAAATGTTTTCTTCTTTCTGGGCCTCCATTTCCTAAATGAAGTATTGCTCGTGCACAATGCTCCTTCTGGTTCCTACAGTGTGTATCTGGCCTCTCCTGTCAGCCTTAGCTGACTCAGGAACGTATCCTAAAGCTAATGCATCTTCTAGTGAACCTTGCAAACAGAATAGCAGAATGGTCTGATTTCACTTTGCCAACCCCTTGAATCACTGTTACATTGAACAATCAATGACCCATAGGATATAATTATAAAGCCACATAATTCGTGTCTCCCATTCTCCTTTAAATGTATCCTGTGGGACCACTTCTTTCCCGTCCATGGATGAAATTTTGGACAAATCTTATGACTTTTCCTGCTCCTTTCAGGTAGCAAAGCATTCTCTAGTCAACAATTAGTATATCTAGGTCAGAGTAAGAACAAAATTTAAATTTCACTCAAAGATATAACTATTCCCCATTCCCAGTTCAGATCTGCTTCAGGCCAGTTGGCTTCTCTCCACCTCACACTTAACCTTGTGTTTTTGCCCCCTCCTATATTTAGCTAATAATGATTCTGAATCCTTCATGACCGGAGTAGGGGACAGAAGTGAGGTAAGGGGTAGGAGAGTTTTTACTTGACTAATCCTGTAGTGAGTTGGCATCATACACCTAATTTGCAGGGGTTTGAAGCTGATTCTTCATCCTGTGGGCTCTTACATGGGCACATTGGTGATCCTACCATCTCTCACTTGCACTTTCCATGACATGAACAAATAAATATAACTCTTCTCTGGCTGGTCACTTATAATTCCTTCCACACCCCCAAATCTGTAGGAAACACATCTCTAGCTTCTTTCTGCAGAGGCCCTGTTGTGCCACCACACAGTCCTGCAGTCCTAAGATGATCTTACTTTAGATCTCTCTTCTGATGGCCCACATATGGTCCTGACAAATACTACACATGATCCTTTCCCCAGACAAACTCTGGGAAGGCTGAACCCTGCAGGCACCTCTGCTTTGTTCTCTGATCAACGTAGCCAGACTTTTGGATTTCCCATGGGAATCAAACAATAATCCATTGTGTCTCTCAACTCCAGGGACAGATATCAAGCTATTCACATGGCCACATTGAAGCCCTTGGGAGCACACTGGACAGTTCTCTCCATAATTCATCTTCTAGTCAACCTGTTTCTCAACCTCTATATTTCTTTTGCAGACGTGATGTAGGTGGTCATCTGTAGGTACAAAGCTGGCTTTCCACCTTTTTTATTTTTTTCAAGATCTGTACACTTCACACTACTTTGGGGTATCTGTTGTCTTACAGCCTCAGCCCAAACTGAAACTAAAATGGTTTCATTTTAACATCCTGTCCGAGGAGCCCCCCTCCAGCCTTCCTTAAGTAATTATTGAGGAAACTCTTGCCTTGGTTTCTACCATATCCTCTCCCCTTCCAAGCTCACCATACTGGAGGACGGTTTAGTCTTTTCCCTGGAGCAGTGTAGCTACAGTTATTTCTCCCTGAAAGCTCCTTTTCTTCCTAGCTGGCCTGGCTTTGGAAGTAATAACTTGAATTGTCTTCATGAGCCTTTCCCTAGAGCATGCTGATATGAGAAATGAATGGCTCCCAAATCAACCAACCTTGTGGAAGTTGTTTCTCATGCCCTAGGTGTTGCAAAACCAAGTGCAGTGTGCTTCATGTGTCTGGGAGTCTCAAGGAAAGTGGAAGGAAGAAGCAGCCACGTCATACTACGCTCTAAGCAGCCCCCTTGCCACATGTCTTTTCCACCAGTCTGCCGTGGAGCCTAAAATGACACCATTAGAGAGTTTGCCTTTAGATTAAGACATTGCCTCTTTAGGATTGTCCTTTCAAATTTCCCTAAAAGGGTAACATATCAGGTTATTATTGTTTCAGATGAGGAACTGGCTTATACTCACTTTCCCACTTTTGTGGCAAGAGGGGCACGTGTGAGAGGGCAAGGACAGAAGTCTTTGTTGATTTTAGGTTCCATATCCATCTGGAGGACCAACATCATTCCAAAACAATATTGCAATCTTGAGCTCATTTTAACCAGGTTGTTCTCCGCCCCGATGTTGTTCAATTAAAGTGATGGTCTATCAGGCTTGGTGACACACACTTGTCCACACTCATTAGAGCATTTCCAGAAGACACTTGATTAGACAATAAGAAAATGCAAAGCTGTGACACGTAAGACACTATCAAAGAAACAAAGTTTGTGCCCCCCCCCCCAAAAAAAAGGATGATTTGGAGGAAGACATGATTTTCTGTTCCAGTATACAGCAGCAGGTCATGTGGGTTTGTTCTCTGTGGTTCTGGTGATAGATTTAATTAAACCTAAGGTGTTGCCTCTCAAACTCTGGTCAGAAGCATCCTCATCACCTGAGAAAGGCAAGAGCTCAGAGGCCCTCCCACACTCTTTAACAACAGATCCCGGGTGATTTGAAGACACATTAAAGTCTGGGAAGTGTGGATTTAAGGAATACTCTCCCAGGTAGACAACTTGGCAGCTGAAGAGCCAGGTAGAACTCTCACAAGATAGCTCCTTTAGGAGTCAGGTGGGGCTGATATTCGTAGGGAACTTTGAAAAGTCATAGAAGTAGAAGGGACTGCTTGAGCGGTAGTGATCTCCCCGTTACTGGTGACAAGTGCAGATGCCCGCTTATTAGGCCATTAGGGATAACTCTGGCAACCCAGAGAAGTAGGAGCAAGATGTCACAGCTGGAGGTGGCAGAGGCTAGCTCTGGGCAGCATGAGGTCAAGGTGCCCCAAGAGTCCCAGTGAGGGTCCCCCGCCCCCGCCGAGGTGGATCCCAAGGCAGAGGGGCTCACGTCAGAACAGAGAGAGGGCATCTTTCAAATCTCTTCCTCAGGCCTTTGGAATATAAACTTTCTTCTGTGATCTTTCTTCTGTGTCCGGGGCAAACCAGACTTCAGACCTCCTCGGCTGCCCGAATCCAGGCCGGAAGGTAGAGTTCTTGGCTGGAAATCAGGAACATCAGTCATTTCCCTTCAATTCTATTAATCGACAGCCAAATGTGGTGTGCATTTTAGGAAGACCAGCTCACTGGTGCTTTGCAAGAATGGAGGCAGAAACATGGGTTTGATAACATTTGCGGCTCTGTCAGAAGTCACGTGATGATCACAGGGAAATTTACTGTACCTTCGAATGTTGAAAAGAAACGGTCTCAATTATAAATAAACTCAAGCCAGTGTTTTCCAAACTTGAATGTGCTCCCAAACCACCTGGCATCTTGTTAAAATGCAGATTCTGGCCTCAGCAGGACTGGCGTGGGGCCTGAGAGTCCGCATATGTAACAGGTGCTGGGTATTGGGGCTGCTGCTGGCTGGGGACCACACTCTGAGTGATAAAGTGTGGGCTGGCAGAGTTCTGCTCACCTAGGGAAATTTAGTTCAGGTTTGCAGTAAAATGAGTCTACGTGCGCTAGGACGCTATATAAGTGTTGTCACTGAGGATGATCCCATGTCCTGTGGAGGTGTCCGTGGGCTGGAGAGGAGATGGGGGGAGGGCAGAGTGGTTAGGTGAGGTGGTAGGTGTGCAGTCTGGGTGAGAAAGAGGAGGTTTGCTGCACTGGTAAGAAGGTTGAAAGAAAGCAAAGAATGACGACAGCAAATTCCTCAGTGTGGCCTGGCCATCTTCTGCAGC